GTAAAATTATTGCAGTAAAATATAAAGCATTTTATTTAAATATCCATTCATTATTTTACAAGCACAGAGAGCCGCATCAGATTCAGATCAGCGGGAAGATTCCCCTGACTGAATTCAGTCGGAGGAATCTTCCCGCATGCGCTCTGGTTCTGCGACGTGCTCCAAGCCCCTCTCCACATCTTCAGCTCGCTGTGTACCTTATGTACACGCTGACAGCGAGCTGCGCTGAGCATTGTCCAGCTCAGATGTTCAGATGGGAATCTTTTCTTGAGTGATTTAGCTATACATCTGCGATTTGCGTAGAATAAAATGTCAGTTCGTTTGCATGCGTCGGGGTAATTCTTTCTATTCTTTCTCCGTCAAAATAAATGGTCAAATACGGGAACTGTGCGGTCAACACAAGCCCTGCTTTTAACTGTTCTGTTTTCTTGTGAAAATAGATCAAATTAAACTTGATTAACACCAGAGCCAGGCGCACTGCGCCGTTATCTCCGTCACTGTAAACGAGGGAAAAACAAAATGATCGGATCCTTTTCTGACCTTCCCCACCTACAAAGTTTAATTACAACAATCAAACGTGACAGAGCCTGGATTTGTATTCTGAACAGTCTAAACATGTTTTAAAAAGAAACATATGACAAAAGTGACACCTGCTTAGTAAAACCACCAACAGGGTGAAAAATATCAAAATATTGTAGGCAGAGATGGGCTACAACTTCTGGATCCACTTTATATAAATCGTTTTATTGATTATCTTCTTATGAAAGATAACTTTGACGTACACAAGCGACCGGTACCGGCTGCTGTCACCTGTTGTGAGCAGCTCTCTGCTGTCTGAGGGTAGGCCCCGCCCACAACGCCGCGGCTGCTGCGGTGTTTTCTTTACTGTGGGAAATGGGTAATAATGGCTCTTTGATGGGAACAGGTTGCCGACCCCTGGTTTAAGTGTTTCAATTTTTTTTTATGAATTCGATTAAAAATAAAGGCGCCCGGCCCGGCCCGTGTCCGAGGTAATTACACAGTCGTTGGCCCGAAGCCCGGCCCGACGGCCCTCGGGCCTAGGGCTTCAGTGCAGGGCTCTATTACAAGGGTATAGAGCTGGTCCACAGTTCCACGGCCAGAATGAAAACCACATTGCTCCTCCTCAATCTGAGATTCAACTATCGATCGGACCCTCCTCTCCAGTACCTTGGACTAGACCTTTCCAGGAAGGCTGAGGAGTGTGATCCCCCTATATTTGGAACAGACCCTCAGGTCACCCTTCTTAAAGATGGGGACCACCACCCCGGTCTGCCACTCCACAGGAACTGCCCCCGATGACCACGCAATGTTGCAGAGACGTGTCAACCACGACAGCCCTACAACATCCATAGCCTTGAGATACCCAGGACGAATCTCATCTGCCCCCGGGGCTCCGCCGCTGTACCTCAGCAACTTCTGCCCCCGAGATTGGACAGTCCATCCCCAGGTCTCCCGGCTCTGGTTCCTCCTCGGAATGCGCGTGGGTGGGATTGAGGAGCTCCTCAAAGTATTCCTTTCATCGTCCAACTATTGCCCCAGTTGACGTCAGCAGCTCCCCATCCCCACTGTAAACATTGTGAGCGAGTTGCTGCCTTCCTCTCCTGAGGCGCCTGACAGTTTGCCAGAACCTCTTTGGAGCCGATCGATAGTCTTTCTCCATGGCCTCACCAAACTCCTCCCACGCCCAAGATTTTGCCTCAGCAACATATGGCCGCAGGTCAGATGATACGACTACAAAGTCTATCATCGACCTGTGACCTAGGCTGCCCTGGTACCAAGTGTACTGATGGGCATCCTTATGTTTGAACATGGTGTTCGTTATGGCCAAACTGCGGCTTGCACAGAAGTCCAATAACGAAACACCACTCGAGTTCAGATCAGGTGGGCCGTTCCTCCCAATGACACCCCTCGAGGTCAAGCTGTCATTGCCCATGTGAGCATTGAAGTCCCCCAGCAGGACAATGGAGTCCCCTGATGGAGCACTATTTAGCACTCGTCCCAGGGACTCCAAAAAGGGTGGGTACTCTGAAATGATATTTGGCCCATAAGCACAAACAATAGTCAGGACCCATTCCCCGACCCAAAGGCACGGGGAAGCTACCCTCTCATCCCCCAGGGTAAACCCCAACACACAGTCTTGGGGCTAACAAAAAGCCAACCCCAGCCCTCTGCCTCTCACCCAAAGCAATCCCAGCAAAGGAGAGTATCCAACCCCTCTCAAGGACTTGGGTTCCAGAGCCAATGCTATGTGTCGAGGTGAGTCCGACTAGATCTAGCCGGTACCGCTCAACCTCTGCCTCAAGCTCCTCCTCCTTCCCCCGCCAGAGAGGTGACTTTCCATGTCCCAAAAACCAGTTTCCTTGTCAGAGTACCCGGCCCGGCCTCTGACTCTTTGATTGTACATTCACGAAAGATCCTCTGAACCGTTCTTTGTCTCACTCTTCACCTAAGACCAGGGGCGGATTTAGGACTGAAGAAGATCTGGGGCTTAACACACACACGCGCACACACATGACACGCACTAGTCAACATCATATATATATATGTCTTGTACCACATAATTTTTAATCTGAAGCTACATATTAAGCATATTCAGGGCAGAGTATTGTTCCTGTTAGTGTTTAGTGTGAGATGATAGTAAATATTCCCTTTCTTTCTCCAACAACTTTACCTGATAAGCTAACTTTAGGCAAACCAGCAGCACAACAAATGTTTTCAAATAAGACTCACAAACCTGAGTCAACACCAGTCTCATCAAAGCTGGGGTTCTGTCGTGGTACTTTTTGTCTAAAAAAACGTCCTTATGTCCATCTTCACTCATGCGTTTCAGGCAGAGACTGTAGAAGAAGCCGGCTGCTGAAGGGCTTCTTCTTCAGTAGTGGAGGCTCAGGCAGGCTGTATACAAACTACTGCCAGTTGCTCCCTCTCTGTTGGACTTTGGTACTGCATGTTGCTTTCGCGATTTAGATCCGGGGCTTATCATGAAACATCCGGGGCTTCAGCCCAAGTAGCCGGGCCTAACGCCGCCCCTGCCTAAGACCAATTTGTCATGGGAGACCCTACCAGGGGCGCAAAGGGCCCCAGACAGCATAGCTCCTAGGATCATTAGGGCACTCAATCTCCTCCACCACGATAAGGTGACGGTTCAAGGAGGAGAGTCATCCAGGTCATGGTAATCTAAAGGGGTTTCCATTCATGGGGATTAATTTTCTTCACTTTCTTCACTGATTTAGATGTGACTTTTTGACCCTTTTCAGCATTTTGATAAAAATGTAAACATCAGGGTTCAAATGTTGGACGACAGCAGAGCTGCTGCTAGATAACAGCACGACGTATCGGAGACGAACGTGGAACATGTCAAAGTTCAGTTCTGTTGGACTCTGGATCCTGCTGCTGCTCGTAAAGTAAGAGCTGCTGACGATGTTTCAGACGAGCGCTTTGGTCACAGTCAGCAGGAAAAAGCTGGTGTTCGATGTGACTCCAACACGCCCACATCCTTCACCCCCGTATGACTCAGTATGTGTGTGTGTGTGCGCCCCCTGCTGAGCTCCAGACTCCTCATCGCCTCTGGTTAGTAGGTATTTACTGCTGCCACATCACATCAGCTGGAGGTACATCACAGCCTAGTTTCCTAGCAACCCTTTCTAATGAATCCTCGCTGAGGGCCCAGAGTCCCACCCGCTGGCCGGTGAGCAGCGACTGGATCGGCCACTGAGGATCTGAACCTTCCTTACTTCCATGCAAGTTTCCTCTGGTCAGCATTAGAGGTTATTTTACGTTCCAACTGATTCGTCTCATCTTTAAAACATGATGAAAAAGCCTAAGCTGCAAAAATATTCACGAATGACAAACGGGTGAATAAAGTATCAGCACCGGGAGCAGTTTGTTCCAGTCAGAAAGAGAAGTAAGTGATTTTATGAAGAAAAATGTGTTTTTCTTTGGCTGTTTTCCACTCAGAGCCTCACTGACAAACATCTACAGTCATGTTTTCTCCAGGACTGACATAAAGGATGAGCTTGTTTCCTCCCTGACTGAAAACCACATCTGATCCATTTCCAGGAAATCTTTCTGTAGCTAATACGCTTGAAATCAGTTTATCTAATCTCATTTACTGTAAAACCGCAGCTAACTAAAGCGTGCGTGCGTGTGACACTAGAAAATATGTGGTTGAGATATTTTTAATCTGTTTGTACTTGATATGAGTGATTCTCAGCTACAAACACACCAAACATTAGCTAAACACAATTTAAATCAGATTCTCCTCTTCCAACAATCTTAAGGCTTACCGACTACAGTAACGACTCTAAAGATAATCTTATCAGATATTCCTGCCATGTGTGGTGTGTTAAGAACTCTTTGGTCTGCCCAGAAGCAGGTTGAGGCCACTTCAATCATTATTCAAAGATATTAAACATGTCGGATTTTCTGGTCTTGATTTGGAGCGCTAACATAATCTGACCATTTTAAAATCTTGCCTTGTGAACCAGGCCTAAAAATATGTTTGTTTCAGGTCTTCCTTAAATAATCCCGATCCATTCCTCCTTTAATTTACAATCTCTTAGATGTTACTAATGCCTGATAAACCTGATGGATAACTTTCCAGATGGGAAGAAGCAGAGTGGGCTGTGGTGCATTAGTCTTTTTTATGCTTTTGTGGTCAGTTTGCTACGGCGGTCATCTTGCATCTGGTTGACTTGAACTCTAAATACTAAAGATCTCACCTGAGCAGTTAGGCCTCTTCGTTAGTGACTATCCCATCAAATTTAATCTCCAAACCTGTAAAATTGTCCTGGCTTTTGCCATTTTTGTGATTTTTAGCTAGCTGGGGCAGCCATCGTGAATTGGGTTTACTCCAAAATGTAAATGGTTGGTTTCTTACATCCAGTGGTTTGGAGGGTATCTGGCCAACACTGACCCTTTAGTGACCCTTGGATTTTACTCATCATGAGAAAATCTTTGTTGTGTTTTCATCGCTGCAGTCGGTGGTGGCGAGGACCTGCGGCGCTACTGGTTGGACTACCTTAGGAGGACTCACATTCTGGTCTACGTGGTGGACTCATCCGACCGAAGCCGCCTCCCATTGGCTAAAGCTGAGCTGCACCGCCTCCTAAGCGTGGAGCCTCAGCTGCCGGTGGTCGTCCTCGGAAACAAGCAGGTAAAATGCAGACCTAAAAACAAAGCTCAGAGGGAGCGTTCCCGACCCCCGGCGGTTAGAGATCTGTTTTCGTCCTGCCTGAGTTTAATGAGCTCAGTGTAAAGTAGAGCATAATATTTGTGTTGACAGGTTATGTAACACAGCTTTTAATTGGTCAAGATGGGAATTAATGATCTAAAACTGTTGAGTCTAGCTATAAAATGAGACACTGAGGTGGAAACATAAACCACAGTGTTAAAAACTAATGCCATCTAACAGAAAAACAGATTAAATTCATTCTGCTTCATTACAAACGTAACCAATAAAGAGCCACAAAAATGATTTTATTTTGCATTTTCTTAATATTCATTTGGAGCAAACAGCTGTTTTCTAAGTAAATCTCAAAATTAAACCAGAGACGAAACCAAACGCCTGGTCTAGGTAAAGGTAGCAGATCTGTTGGGACATAAACCAGGAGGTACAATAATGGTTAATTAAAGGTTGAATATGGAACACTGGCGAACTCTGGTGTTTAGAGATGGTATTGCAACAATAGGACTAATTTTCAATCAAACAATCAGATTTTATTTATAAAGCACTTTTCAAGCAAAGTGTGACTCAAAGTGCCTTACAGAATTAAAATGACCCCAAATTCCCATAACATTTCCAGCCACTGTGATGTTGGGTACTGCCGACACATTCCATGTTCCAGGATAGAAAAACGAAAAGTAGCTGGAATAAATCAGCATACGAGCAGCTCAGTGTTTATTTATCCAGCAGAAATGATCCTCGGATAAACCTCCCCTCATTTCTCCACTCTGTCGCATCTATGGAATTATGCACAATCCTCAGAGCGAGGAAGTAATATTTGTCACATTCGAGATCCGCATGGAGACGTTTGTTTTTTTCTGTTGATCGAGTAAATAACCCAAGACTGGGCGATACGGCCTAAAATCAATATCATGATATATTGAGGATTTCATCTCGATAACGATAAATGGACGATAACTACAGGTTTGCGCAGAAACAAAAGTTTTCCACTTGATGGGGCTGTCGCACGTATTAGTTGAGTCACATTTTTACACGACTCAAGGCGGTACAGCTTCCTAAAAGGACACGAACGTTGCAGACGTCACATGAAAATTATCTAATTATCTTGATAAGAGTCAGAAATTTCGATAACGATAAATTTTCGATTTGTTGCCCAGCCCTCAAATAACCTCAGCTGAAGCGGCTAGGCAGCAGGTGACTCCTTCCTTCGGCGGTTAAACGAAGCAGGTAAAACAAACTTACTGAACCATCACACCTATTTTGAGTTTTTTAGGGAGTTGAGGAGAAAAATGACGTTTAGGCTTAACGTTTGTGGGTGTGAGAAAATAAAGGGCGAGCATCATCTAAACATAACTGTTGTTGCTCCAGGACAAAGCCAACGCCGTGAGCGTGTCGGAGCTTCATGACGCTTTGTCTCTGGACGCTGTGGCCGACGACAGAAAGCTGTTCCTCCTGGCTGCACAGCTGGACTCTGAAGAAGCCAAGAGGAGATCCTGCCAGGGTCTGGACACCGTCCACGACCTTCTGCTGCAGCTCGTCTGATCTGCTGTCCTCCCACAGAGGCCAGCTGGAGGACGTAGCCGGCATCATTCTCCTCTTCCTCCTCACTTTTGTGGCTCCTTTCAGGCAGAGGTGGTGGTGGTGAAGAGGAGCACAAAGAGATGCGGTGGGCTTGTGTGACTCATCACGAAGGAGGAGGAGGAGGCAGGATGAAGCTTTGACTCAAAGATAAAGACTTCAGTGACTCATACCTGTGTGTACCTGTTACAGGTTTGCTTTAGTGTGTAGCTCTGGTCGTACACCATGCCTATGACCACTCATTCTGTGTTTTCATCAGCTTTTATGAAGGGATTTAATATAAAATAAGAACGCTGTGTTCCTGGACGGAATAAAACAGAAAAATTATTAGATGCATTGGTTATTTAGCAGATTTTATCTAAAACTAAAGATGTATTTTCGGATCGTCCATAATTTCAGTCTGGATCTCCTCCTGGGATAAGTTATTATCCTGAGACTGTCGGACTTTGCTTCATTTCCCAGGGAAAGGAGTTTTCACGCGTCCTCCGTTTCAGCTAAATACAGGAAGTGAACACCGACCGTTAACCAAGTAAAAGAAAAAGTTTCTCAGAAATAACTTCAGCGAAAGTTCACTTTTAGCAGAAAGTCTGGTGAAAATCAACTTTCAGCTGGTAAAAATAGTAGAAACAGGTTTAATTTTACTGGAAAATATGAAAATGCACATTCCAGCGAGACTACAGGCAAGAACGGAGGTCAGCAGGTGGCAGAGTCGAGTCGTTTAATGACAATATTTTACAGTTGGGTTGAATGAGTTAGAATCAATATTCATGAAGATCTTACACCAGAATGATTTAGAACAAGAAACAAATAAACGTGATCTTCAGAGATTAGTTTAAAACACGTAGATCAGCCATAGAAACACAAACAAACAGAAGTGCTATAAAAGCAGCGAAGAGCTACGGGAGCCTGGGGGTCCAAACAGGAAGTCGGCACTCATTACAGGTAAAAATCACATAATTGTTGTGTTGTATTATTTTATAATACATTAATGTAATTAGGACTTAGTGCTGTACACAAATCCTCCTCCAGGGGGCAGAAGGCATGAATCCACGTCTCCTGAGTGAAGAACCAATCCCGTTAAAGGTGTGGCACTCCTAAAACTTCAAATACACGTTTAGAGTTAAATATCATCTGTTCCAAACATAACTTATTGCTTATTCTTCACTTTTGTTGCAGGAATATTTTGCTACATTTAGCTGATGATTGTATCATCAATAACTGAAGGATTAATATTATTAGTAATATTAGTAACTCTATTGGTCGAAAATACTCCATAAATCTCAATCATAGATTATTCCGTAGATAAATGCATCAAAACAGCTTATTTTCTAACTTAGTTTGTTCATTTTAAAAACTACTAAATTATTTACGTGATTTTTTTTACAGACGGGGAAACCTCCCACCAAACTTGTTAACAGATGCTCGTGCTGCGTCACGGTTGTCAGGAGTTTGGCATTTCACCGTTTCCACGTCATTTTTACGCATTTATCATTTAACTTCAGCTGTTTGCGTGAAACCGAATTTATACAACATCTGCTGATTTTAGAAGCATTAATGTCAGTATATTGGCATCGGCAAATATCGGTTATCGGCCACAACGGTGATAGTAATATCGAATATCGATATCAGCCCAAAAATGTAATATCGGTGCATCACTAGAACTCAGCAACAATTAAAACACTTCATGATCCTTAGAATGAGCTCTGAGCAGATTTATTTCCACATCGGTAGCGAGTTCAGGTTCAAGTTTCCCAAGCTACAGGATCTAGAAGATGCTTCCTAACAAACATGTTTTCCTGCTGGGAGACAAACGGGATGTTTTAATATTTGCTGACTCAGCAGATCAATGCAAACCTACAAGGTTATTTCTGGTGTCGTTGGGTAAAGTTCCTCAGCTGGACCGGGTCTGATTTGGCTCTCCAGGATGGAAATAAAGAATAATTCATGAAAAGGTCATAAATCGGGGGGTAACTTAGTATAACCTGATGATCTTTAAAGGTTCCTTCTTGGGTTAGAAATTATTCTCTACTGTGATTAAAAATATCACAAATTCTTCATTTTACGTTCAGAGTTTTGAATGTCAGTTTAACATTAGATCTGCAGAAACGTTTAAGAATGACAGAAAAGCTGCAACAACTTAGCTGAGATAATCGTTTGATTTTATTCATGGAAGTAGATCGTTTAAAAAGTAGATGAACAAAAATTTAACTATTTAGATTCTGAAATTGTCACAACTGAATAATAAGTAGGAAGAGAATTTTTAAAAACAAAATTAAAACATTAAATTAGGTCATGATTACAAATGTTTGATTATTTTACTATTGAATAATTCTGAGTTCCTCAATAGAAAAATTAAAGTTTATTAACACTACACATTTGATATGAAACGATACTTTTAAAGGGAACTATTTAATGTCTGGCGTTGAAAAACAGCTGTACAATAACCGGTTATTTTATTATTTAACTATCAGTGATACCACCAGGGGGCAGCAGACATGGACATTTTTCTGGTGAAGGTACTAATCCTAATGCTACACCTGGAGGCTTTAAAGTGAGGGTCAAGGCCTGGGTGGAGACGTATTTCATCCACACTTCCTGTTAGGAAAACGCTTCTGAAAGAGGCGTCGCCTGGCGGACCGAGAGAGCGGCACTGAGGCAGTGGTGGACCGCACCCCCCTCAACCCCCCCATGTGTGCTGTCGGGAGTTTCTCAATCTAAAAACCAGCTGTTAACCAGCGCGTGCGCACTCGCGCAAGCACGCACTCGCACAAGACTTACCCCGGAGAGAAGCAGACAGATTCTGCAGCATTCTGGAGGATTTCCTGTTAAACGCGATCATTAAATGAAAAGAGGGACGAGGGCGTTTTTTTCAAGGAGGCGAGCGGCTCAGAGCGCTAACGTGTCATATCGGCAGGTGAGTGGCTGAGCCAGGTGGAGGTGTGGCTGCCTCACCTGGAGACCAGTGCAGTCCGGCCACATAGTACTTTGCTGACAACGTCACGTTTTTCAGCTCAGCCGTCAGCCACAGCCTTTTCTACAAGAATGCGGAGCAGAGTTTAAACCTGAAGATGGAGACAGAATTATGGTTTGGGGCTGAAATATTACATTTAAAGTAAGTTGCACTAAAATGCCACACTAATGATTACACATGGGTACGGCACCATTAGACCATCTATACAGGTTAGCAGCAAAAACAAGTTCATTTAGGCGTTACTCGCTCTTTTAAGGACGGCAGGGATTAAATAAAGAAAACCAACATCTAGTAACGGCGCTGCAGCCCCGATGACTAAAGACAGGTAACAAATTCAGCTTTTTACTAAAACATTTTATTAAAGCTGATTATTAGTTCTTTATAAAATATATCAGAACACACACACACACACGCGCTTCCTCTCCATCTTGAGGAAAAAAAACTGTTGAGTTAATGAGCTCGTTTTGTCGTTCCAACAGAAGAAAATTAATTTTTCTGAGATGTTAAAACACCCCAGCAGCAGTCGGACATGCTTATGGTCCCTCCGTTTTAGGGTCCAGAACTGCAGTGGTTCTAATCCGCTGACGGGCTTCTACCAGCTGAGTGTCCAGAACCGGATCCTCCTATGGAGCCGTGGGTCATGGCGCTGCCAGCGAGCGGATGAAGGCCTCGTAGTGCTGCGGGTGGCAGCGCTTGTACTCACTGATTTTTCTACTGATCTGCTTTGGCGTGTCCTGGTAGTAGTTCTTCTCATCTCTGGCCATCGCCTGCAGGGAGGAAGGAGGAACACGCCGTTCAGGTCAGAAATAACCCGACAAGAGCTTTTTCTCTAGCCAAAAACAAGACGAGCTTGAACTTATGGATCTTTCTGTGGCACAAATGAAACCTGATAGGTTATTTAAAAAATAAAATCATCAGTAAAACATCTCTGGAGCTCTTAATTAGCTCTGCTGCCGATTTTAATATTCACTCGTTCACACATCTGCTATCGACCTGCTGCATCATCGGCTCCAAGGTACCGATTCTGCAACACGGGAAGGGAGACTCAGAACCTTCATCTGTCAGATTAACACCAAAGAAAACCAGAGTTTCTAATGAGGACTTCTTCAAACCAACCAGGCCCTGTGTGGACGAGTGAGAAGAACTGGGCTGAAGACTTTTTTCAAAGTATAAATTCTGCCAGATGATGAAAGCTTTATTCCGATACGTTGAGAGCATCTTTTCTGTTCTTTAAGGCTGAAATATGAATTATGTCGCCTCTAAAAGATGACGCTCAGCATCTGAAAGGTGAAAAACCAGCAGCTGATGTTCTGTACCAGAGTCTGAAGGTCAGTTTGCTGAACCTGCAGTCCTCTCTCTTTCCGATTTCCAACAACAACGTTCCCCTAAAGGACTCCACCGACCAGACAGATTCCAAACCACCGTCCTGAAAAGGTCCTGAAATCAGAATCTGGTGAAACTCCTTTAATCGAATAAAAAATAACTGAGGTTCTTGTGCTTTTAATGACGGTTTGAGTTAGAAAACGAGATGAATTGTGTTTTCAGAGAGACCTTTCCGTGCCGCAGCAGGACTAAACTCAGAGCGGGGTCGGCTTTAGAGAGGACGCTTCGACCCTGAAGCCTCACAAAGACTCTGAGCGGTTTAATCGAGTGCAGCCAAGTCACTTCTCAGAAGTCAAGGACAAAGATTTTTCTACGAAAAAATAAATAAAATTTATCGTGTGAAAAATGAAACTTTGATGAGGACACGTTAAAATCGGCCGGGGGAAAAATCAGACTCAGCTTGGAGTTTTTTTTTCCGAGGGTCTAAAACCCAGCCGTGATCACTGACCTGAGGTCAGCTTGGAAGATATGAAAACAGTATGTGATGCAAAGGTAAGTGTTTCATCGTCTGACTTATCAGAAGAGGAGTGGAGGTGGTCAGCAACAAGACTCGGCTGTGATGTTTAAGCCAGGCTCAGGTGGTGCTGAGGGGTCCAAAGTGGGACCAGAACATCTCTGCCCAAATTCTGACCAGACAGCTGAAATCCAGACTCAGACCAGGAAATGTGTTTCCAGTCTCCTCCGGTCCAGTTCTGGTGATCCGGCGTGAACTTCTGCAAACCTCTGTAGGTACCAGAGCTGACGTCTTTCCATCATCTGAACCCCAGGCTGACCTCTGACCCTGGAGATGGTTGTAGGTTCTAACCTGATCCAGGTTCTGTTCAGTGTTTTTGGAGGGCATCTTAGTTTTAGTCTTCGTCAGTCAAAAAGGGTTTTATTCAACAAGGATTTTGTTTTTTTAATTTTACAAAACATTAAACAGAAATATTCTCTAACAAAAGCACTGATGGGTCAGACGTGTCCTCTGAGCTGCTGTTTCTAAACTTTATTAATAATCACAACAATGTGATAATGTATGGATGCAGATCTGTGCATCATTCTGTAGATTTCCACTAAAGAAACGTATGATTTTCTTTCCTGAACAGAATGGACTCTTAGGGAGTGCACGGAGTATTCAACACGATATTTATACAGAAATAAAGAAATGTGTTTGTTTCATTTATTATTCGAGTTATCAGACCTCCATCTTGAACGTAGATTGTGGGAAAGTCCACCTACTTAAATGCAGTAATGGTTTTCCACAGACTGCAGCGTTGTGAGTTTTCACAGAACGAATATCAATAACCCAGATCTGCTCTCGAGCATCAGCAGACGCTCACAAACATGTAGACGGGTTAGGGACCCGTAATTAGGAACCAGGGAGCAGAGACAATAATCCCGATACTCTGACTTTCAAACATTCGTCTTAAACGTGTTCAGGTAAAACCCGTTAAAACCATAAATTCTTTCACTCTTCTGCCCAAATGCATGACTGTTCCAGGAAGCACTCATATAAGAAACGTGTTAATATTACAGACATGTTTAAGAAAAGCAACAGTCGCTCATGTTTTAGTCACAAAAGAGCTATTTTTAGCTCGTCAGCACCTTGATCACGAGATCTTGTTGTCCCGGCAAGGGTCATGCGTTGGTCTCCGAGGTGTTGTTCTCCAGTGGTTTAAAATCCTACCTTCACAAGAAGTCATTTTCCATTAATCTGGGTCCTTTTACCTCGAAAACAGCACCTCTGACATGCGGGGTGCCTCAGGGCTCCATTTTGGGTCCAGCACTTTTTTTCTTTGTATATGCTCCACTTACGCTGGGGACACACCGGCTGCGGAAGCGCCGAGAAGCGAATCGCTCACGAAATTCGGCCGCTGCTCGCCGCTCCTCAGTTCAGATCAGACGCGCCCCAGTCGAGGCGCGTCTCGACTCAGCTGTAGTTTTGCTTTTAAACACTTGGTGTCCTCCATTTCCTCTCTGCCTTTTCTCAGCTCTTTTCCTCTACGTTTGAGTGTTTGCACATGTGTGTGAGTGTGTGTGTGTGAACCTATGGTATGAGTTGTTTCTGCCAGTTGAATCTCTTGGAACCCGCTCCAATTCTGCAGCTGTATCCTAGCAGTTTCTTCTGAAATGGGTACGTAAATAGTCATGTTTTTCGGGGGTCGTACAGCTCCTTGTGTTTCTCAACTTCCATAATTAATTTAAAGTCATCCATCTTAACTGCTTGCCTCAGACTTTCTGCCTCTCTGTCCTGTTTGCTCCGGTGAAAAGACACCCAAAACCACTCCCCCTTCACGTGGTCACACACGCACACAAGTTCGATGTGTGTGTGTTTGTGTGGTTTTTCTGCAGTGTCTGATTACGAACACATTTGACTATTGCGGAATTTTATTTTGAAATGCTTTATTTTGTTAACTTTACCGGCCTGCCTCTTGTCTAGGTTTGACTTCCTGCCAGAATTGACGCGATTCACCCGCGGCTCGCGAAAAAAATAGAGCAGACGCCGAAACGATCGCTGCACAGCGTGGGCTGGAGTGCCGGCGTGAGGCGATTCGCGGCACTTCGGCGGCCCATGTGGTCTATAGAATAGCTTAACAAGGGCGCCGAATGAAGGCGGTCCCATTTTTGCGTCGCTTCCGCGGCCGGTGTGTCCCCGGCGTTAGGTAATTTTATACTTCTCAAAAATGGAGCCTTTCACTGTTTCGCTGATGACCTTCAGATCTATTTGCCACTTAGTGATGCCAGGTCAATTGGCTCATTACTGGAATGCTTAAAAAGCGTCAAACAATTAAAGCTCAACAATTAAAAAAAACTGAAATTTTACTATTTGGCAGTCCTAATCTAACGTTGTTAGTCCTCTTGGTCCTTGCTCTGGTTTTCTAAAACCCTGTGTTAAAAACCTTGGTGTGTTTTTAGATGGTTCTTTTAATCTTAAGGCAGGTGAGTGCAGTGGTCCAATCAGGTTTTTATCATTTAAGGCAGATAGCAAAGGTGAAGCCATACCTTCCTGCTAATGTCCTGGAACATGTCATACATCTGTTCATGGACTACTGCAACTCCCTGTATTCTGGCCTGGACCAGTCCTCCCTACACCGACTTCAGCTGGCCCAAAATGCAGCGGCACCAGCAAGCGGGATCACATAACCCCGGTTCTGGCCTCTCTCCATTGGACTCCTGTCTCTTGTGGGCCATTCCCATCTGTACAGGGTTGGCCCGGGCCAGGCAGCGTAGGTTGTTACATATCTGGGTGGCCTGGTATTTTTCCGGGCCAACCAAGGCTCATTCTCAGCCCTCTTCTCGAGGGGGTCTGCTTCAGGCCGACCAGGGCCAACACACCCACTGCTGACAGCAAATTCACACCTTCCATTAGAGCAAGCCTCTGATTGGTGGGTAGAATCAGCCCACATGGGCTTAAGGCAAGGATGTGTGGAATCAGCCGGGCCAGGCTGGGGCCGACTGGGGCTACCCGGCCCGGGCCGACCCGGTACAGATGGGAATGGCCCATTACAGGATCCATTTCAAAATGTTACTTTTTGTTTTTAAATCCCTTCATGGCCTGGCCCCAGTTTACATCTCTGAGCTGCTGTCTGCTTACGTCCCTGCCAGAACCATGAGGTCCAGCTCTCGAGCTCTTTTAACAGTTCCAAAAACCCGCCACAAGACTCGCGGTGACAGAGCGTTCTCTGTGGTTGGTCCCAAACTGTGGAACAAGCTACCTCTCAACATCAGGACCACACAGAATCTAGAGTATTTAAATCCCTTCTTAAGATGTGCTTTTTTGATTTGGCTTTTAATGCAGGTTGACTTGAGCATCTTAATAGGTTTTAACAGTTTTTATTATAGATTGTGACTGTTGTGTGCTCATCTTATTTTAGGTTTTTATTGTTGATTTGTTTTACCTTGTACTGCTGTAAATGCGCCCTATAAATAAAATTGACCCTGACCTTGTTTTCGTTATGAAAACAACATTGGTTCTGTTGGAAGTTTCTTCCTGTTAAAAGGGAGTTTTCCTCTCCACTGTCGCTGCATGTTTGCTTAGTATGAAGATTGCTGTAAAGACTCTGACTCTAGTCAGTGACTCGATGCGACCTGCTGGGTTCCTTACACAGGAAACTTAATGAAATGACATAATGAACTGAACTTAGTTGGAATGTTTACTTTGTGAAGAGCCTTGAGACGACTCCCAGTGTGATTTTTATAAAGATTACATTAAACTTATTGTTGAAATTAATCCCAGTAGATCCGCCCATCTGTTTCCCCACTCCTCTCTCGTCCTTTTGCTTTCTCCCATCCTGTCCACGCTGCTTCTTCAGGCCACAAATAAAGTCAACAGGAGTTCCTCACATCCTTCCTGCAGTAAAGGAAACCTGCTATGAAAGTACCTGAACAGGGCAGAAAACAAACAACTCCCCTCAATTCTCCATCCCGATGCTCCGCTTTAACCTCAGCAGGTCATCTTTCCCACCTGATGTTGGTGTTAACACCAGTGTTTAGAGACCATCGCAGTAAATACACCTCCTTTAGAAGGAGAACATGCAGCTTCTGATTCTACCTTGTGGTCGTCGTGGTGTTCTCGGATCATGTGCTGCACATACTCAATCAGGTCAGAGGACAAGGTCTTTGTGTCTTTCTCTGGAAGACTGGCCTCCTCCTGCAGCTCTGCACAAAAAAATTACAACCTTTTAAGGGAGACGAAAAAACTCTAGCTTGTGAATGTTTCAGGCGGTTTAAGTCACGTCTGTTGTCTGAAGTTTTGAAGCATCACACAAACAAAAGCAGCAACCTGCAGAAACCAATCATGACTCACTGCTGATGATGTACGGTTTGGTGACGACGCGTTCGGGAGGTTTGTCTCTGTGTTTCTGTCCGGGGAGCTGAAACACAAACAACAGCCCCCAAGTCAGATCAGCACATCTCTGCTCTGAACACAGAAATGAATCGTTCGTGGGTCAAATGAAGTGTAGGAAAACAAGCTGCAGCTGAGATCAACTTCAAACTCAAGCAGAGACAATTTGTGATTCATTTGGAGCTGAAGCATAAAGCAGCATTTATGAGCTCCGAGGAGTCTTCAGAGACGATCATTTAAAATTTATTTGGCTTCAGAGAAAATCCAGAAAAACCTGAAAACAAACAGCTGAGCTTCTCTCAGACATTTGGCGTCCCCTTCTGGTTCAGCTCTGAACTGATCCGACCCTCACCGTTTGTTTCTTTATCGGCAGCGTCCGGTTAGGGTCAAAGGACAGACCCATCTCAAGCAGGTTCGTGGACGTGGACTTGTGGTCCTCCCAAGCATTACGAATCTGTGGACTGAGACAAAAAATAGAGATTTAAGGCGAAACCTCTAGAGCTCCAGACGAAATCTGTGTCCAAATGGCTCAAAGGTGTGTGACTAAGGTCAGGCGATGATACCGACACATAAGACAGATGCACCGATTCTGGTTATGAGGGCAGATACCGATTTCAGAACTGACTGCTAGAACTGACTTTGTCACCATTGTAACAAGAGTGTGCCCATATGAAAGACACAATCACTGGTGCTTAGTGAGTTCAAAGTAGGGCTCCAAGATAATACATTCTCCATGAAAATCAGAAGGCGATTTCTTCTCAAATGCAATATTAAAAAATGCCGACATCTTTAGTTTTGCTGCACTCCGCATCTGTTGTGTTACTTTTTAATTGCATTCCTGTCTCTGATATAAATTGCAGCCCCGCCATGTTGGATCTTGTTGCGGTTCACTGATGCAGGAGAAACCAACAACAACTAAACCGAGGTGTCGTGGAACATCTGGACAGAACGGCTCGAGCTTTTTGTTAAGAAAACCCATAGTAAAACAAATCAGGGGCGCTGTTGGGCAAGCTAACGCTTCTAGTCCGTCTGTCAGAGATGGACTACAGCCACTTTAAAACTTTGACCTCCATATTTATACGTTTCCGAGTCCTTCCGTAACTCCAAACATTGGTTTTTAGTCACAAAAACACACCGGGTGTCAGCCTCGCGGTCTGGTGTTAGCTAAGATTAGCAAACACGCTAACGGGACTTACTGTTCGATCCTCGGGGCAATCTTCTTTTTAAACTTCTTTTTTAGTTTCTTCCGGTCCAAGTTGTAGTCATACTGCTTTCTTCTCTTTGACTGTTTGGCTTTCGGCATTTCAGATGAAGTTTTCTTCTCTTATAACAACAAAATTGTAGTTTGCGCTCGGCACAAATCAAAACGTGCAGCTGCAAACAGGAAGCGCGTGCTATTCTTCTTCTTCTTTATTGGCGGGTGGCAACCAACTTCTAGGTGCATTTCCGCCACCTTCTGTGTGGGAGTGTGAGTCGCAATAGGGAGAAACTGTTCTACTGTAATTCAATTCTATTTATTAAATTACTAGTCTTTAAAACCCCAGTTAGTAATTTATAAACATCTAATCCTCTAATATATATTATATATAATAATATATTGCTCAAATTCAACTTTTCATTATCTTTCATCTTTAACTGTCTAGATAATATTTTCCTATTCTTTATATATTTGTCACATTTACACAATACATGTTCTACCGTTTCTCGATCCTTTCCACAACCACACATTCCTGTTTCATGTTTCCCATCATAAAGAGTGTACTGTTTAAACCCGTATGCCCCATTCTCAGTCTCGAAATTATCATTTAATTCCTATCACACATTGGAATGCTTTCCATTTTACCCACTCTGTCCCTAATTTTATATAGATGTCTTCCCTTTTCCTCTCTTATCCAACGTTCTTGCCATTTTTCCATAAGTATCTTCTTAACATATCCTTTAATTTCTGCCATGCTATACGGGATGTCCACCACATCATTCATTCGAGTAGCTTGTTTAGCATAAAAATCCGCCATTTCGTTGCCCTCTACCCTCCTACTAGCTGGAACCCCATAAACCTAACAACATAATCAATCTTATGTAAATTGAACAAACATTCATATATTTCATATAAAATATCCCTTCTTGTAGCTGATGACATCGTAGTGATAGATGGCAATGCCGACATTGAATCTGAACAAATAATACAATTCCCAATTCTGTTTTGCTCTATCCACTGTAAACTAAAAGAAATAGCCCTGTATAAATCGACAAACCATTGTGCGTTCTACTCCTAATATATATGTATATATATATATAAACTTGGAACCCAAAATGAAAAACCAGTTAAACCCTTATTTAACTCATTTGAACCATCAGTATAAATCGGAAGGAATGTACCGTAAGTCTCCTTTAACCTATGCGCCACCATAAAATCCCAATTCCCTGTACCTTTACGTTTAAAAATGTAATTCAGAATAAAGAAATCTACATAAACTTTCGGAAACAGCCAAACAGGAGTAACTGAGTATAAGAATTTATTAACCAGTACTTTATCATACAACTTCAGTTCAATCAATCAATCAATCAATCAATCAATCAATCAATCAATCAATCAATCAATCAATCAATCAATGATTGATTGAACTTCAGGTCCTCCGCTAATTTACACGATTTCCCTATTGCCCTCTCATATTTCCTATTAACACAAGGCCCACCTGTTATCATCTCTTCTTTTAACATATGCCCATTCCCTTCACTTCCCTGCACACTCGCCCAATAATTAAGTTTCAACAAGTCAAATCTTAATTATAAAGGCATCTCCCCCATTTCAATCTGTAAGAAGCGCGTGCTCGTTGTTATCCGGTCATGTGATTTGAATCCATTTCTTTGTGCAGCAGCTGATGACCATCGATATCATATATAACATTAGCTAGATCCCCTAACTGGGAGTCGACAGCGTCCTTACACGGCGGCCATCTTACTTCGGACAGCTAACCGTTCTCTAGCTGAGGGTGAGTGCACGGCTCAAATCAAAATACTTATAACTCGATGAAATATTAAGGATTTACAAACGGTTTGCCTTATTACAAACCGTGTGACACACAGACTTGATGCGGGATACTCACAAATGTTGAAATTACTGCTATTACTTTTGAAACACGACATAATTGTGAACAATGTGTCCCGGCTAAGCAATTTTTTGCGTTAGGTTGAGAGAGAGAGACCACAATCAATATTTTTATAGGGTTCGTATGGTTCAACGAAACTAAGAAGTGTACGTAAACCTAATGTTTGTCTACATGGCTGTCTTGGTGGATGTGTTAGTGTTTATTAGCTGTCTAACTTGGCTTAGTGGAGACGAGGCTGCCGTGGCTGCGCCGCTTACCTACAGTGTTTTACCTCAGTGGAAGCGGAGGGTAAAATTGCCCTTGTTTTCCAGGCGGCTTACTTTGTTAAAAAATGTAAAAAACTTAGACTGAAGTTTATTAAAATAGCAGAAATTGCTGGCTTTGTTTTCACAGAAATACACGTGAAACCCAACAAGCATGCCTGACTTTTGTGCTGCTCATGGATGCTCTAATAGACGATGTCTTCAATCACGACGGCGTGGGATCACCTTTCATTCGTAAGATTTAACAATAACAAACATTCAACTGTGTTAGGCTGATGTCTCTGTCATCTGCTTTCTTTAAACTGCTTTTTAGAAATAACAGTGATGGCAAAGCTTAAGATCTATCAGCTAACTGTGATTTTAAAAAGTTTAATTGCTTGAATTCAAGATTTCTTGGTCAATCAATCATTGCATTATTCTGTCATGACACCTTTTGTTTAACTATTGTTTGTTTTGTGTTCATGTTAAAGGAAAAAGGCTGTAAACTGTTTACAATGATTAATAAAGCTGCCTACATTTTGTCACTTGTTTAAGATTTCCCAATGATGGAGAAAGAAGGAGGCAGTGGGAAGTTGCCCTAAGAAGTGTCTGCGATCTTCCTCACAGCTGACGCTCAGTGGCGTCGCGACTCGCAATCAAAACCATCAGCAAGGTAGAAAACCTTCCCTGTGTTTCAAAAAGAACCTAAAAATGCGGTCAGAAGAAAAACACAAAAGATGTTTGTAGTCTTTAGAAAAACTGCTGGCTTATCAAATCCCCCTGATAAATAAATACAACGAATAAATTCCACACTTACTAATCATGATTACTTGTTTGCCTTTAGGTGGTCAAACTATAGTTCTCGTCTGATGTCTCACCTGACATCATGTTGTTCTATAGGCCTATGTACAGTATAAAGGCAACCACACTGTCCAGTTACATTGGTATTTGTAATCTCAGGATTTGTTGTGCGGCGAGCCATGACCAAGCTGTCCTGTGATGACCAGAGCTACCATTTGCTGACTCTGAAGAGCAACGGGGGTCTTGTGGTCCCATCTGAAGGTACTGTGAGGGTCATCAGAGCAGCAGAGTGGGCAATTCGCCAGGCATCAGTGGGCAGACGATCACAGCCCATCAAACCACTGGAGGTCGTCTACATTGTGCTCAAGAGGATCGGGTCAGAGGATGTCTTGTTGCTTGGGGAGCACATCAGTGAGACGCCGTATGGAATTGAGTCTCACTCCCATACACTGTTGACATCTATTGTCTCCCTGTTCTTTAAGCTGAGGATGCACCACATTGCAAGATTAGCAACTCATAGCTTTCAGTGTGACAGCGTGAGACAGAAGCTCACAAAAGCTGTCCTTTTCACAGGTCAGTAGGAAACCACAATGTGCTTTAGCATCTGTCTGTAGATCTGTTACTTTTATTAACAAAAACATGTATAATCTATAATAAACATGTTTTTCATAACTGTCAGTCTGTCATTCATTTACTCTTTAATTTTTGAAGTGTTTATTTAGCCTTTTAACTCACAATTATCCCAGTTTTCTCTTCTCAAACTTTCACTTTAAATGGGTTGCAGGCTGAAAGTGGAAATAAATATAAATGTTATAATAACTTACCAAAGCAAGTATATATTAGGTTCATATTACTTGCAAATATTAAAGTAAATAAAATATATTCTGTATATCTTCATTTGTCTTTTTATAAAATATTTTCTCAGTCATTGAGGTTCTAGAGTTGGTTTGTTTTTTGGACTGGGTGTTGTAACTTTAAATTTTGTTTCATGCTGTGTATTTATTTTTTTGTTTTACTATTTTCTGTAAATTAAATCAGGTATGAGTTTTTACTTATAAGTTGATATGGTAAGTTATAATCATCGACATATAAATATTGGACAATGGGTTTCCATAGACTCCAATAACACATTTTTGAAGATAAATGGGAGGTGGCCACCACCGCCATTTTGACCGTGTCACAGGTTCCATCAAGCCCAGACAATTCCACAAAAGGGAAGAGAGGTGGAGCTGAGGGTGGGGCTGTAAGGCTGGGATCAAATGACGACACTCGGTCGAACTAGCTACAAGCTAACCTGAAGCTAACCCAAAGCTAACGCGGAGGTGGGAGCCGAGCTAACGAAGCAACCTAGCTACAACTGGAGTTAACTGTGCACAACACCAGAGCTTCTGAGTCAGAGATACGCCGGGCTGACCGCTGGGGAGAAACGGGTGGAACACAGAGGTCTCCCGAGAGCTCCACAAGCCGGCAGCCGCACAGCAGACAAGCGCTGCTGCGATCTGAGATGTGCAGAGCTGCCGCTGGGGAGAACTGGATGGAAAACATCGGTTTCCATCCCAGAGCTCCACAAGCCGGCCGCCCGCGCAGCAGACAGAAGCCGCGATCAGACAGAGATGGACTGGGCTGCGGGGAGGGGATAACCGGGTGGAAAACATCGGTCTCCCGAGAGTCGGAACCCAGCTCCACCAACATGTTATATTTCAAACCATTTTCTAAAGTGCAGCATTATGTTAAATGCACTGGGTTTTACCCTATTACATTTAAATTTCATGGTTAAACAGTACATGTTAAAATCTAAGCTCAGCTCGGCAGTGACCTAAAATACATAAATATAATTTTACTTACCAAAAAAAAAATGAAGTGGAGACTCCTTGGACGCTCTATTAGTGCAATTAATGCCACAGCAAGTCATTTTGTCCAACAATTGCACGAAAAACATCCAAAAAATAATACACAAACACAGAGACTCAAAATCCCGGAGCAGTTTCCAGGCCAGACTGAGGCTCTACTGAGGCCTTTCCACGGAGCTAGCTCTGTGGTCACGTGGGTCGGATGCTCATTAATTATACAGAATTTTAGGCTTTTAATACACTTAAACAGAAGAGGGAGAAAAAAATTCACCCCCCTCAGAATTGTTATGAGTGTAACTAGATCATTTAAACAAAAAACATGTTTTGGAACCAGGCTGTAAAAATGTTTATTTCTGCTGTGAAATTGGTATTTTTAACATGGGAGTCAATGAGGATTTGCTCGCCTCTGACACCAGCCCCTAGTGGA